ATTGCAGGGTGCACTGGTTTTGGGTGGAATGGCAGTTTTAACACATGTCCTTCCGTTATATGACCTTTAACATATTCCAAGTAGAATTTTTAACACTACCTCTCAACAACTGAAAGCATCAAGGGCTGGTATTTCCTAGGCAACCTTCACAATTTGCCACTGTCAAAGTAAAAAATGCAAACTATTTGCTAAAGCTTACTAATGCCACCTCCTTTTACCCAGCTTGCCGTGGAACACCTGAACAGAAGAGCAGTGCTTTAGTGATACAATTCTTCCCAAACACACTTTCTCCTTTTCTTCAGAGCAAAACAGTTATACTCGAGGTGAAAGTTACTGAGTAGGTTCAGGCACCTTTTGGGAATCTAGCTTGATGAATGTATCCTGACTTCTGAGAAATTAATACGCTTTATCAAAATAAGAGTTAATTACAGGGATTACATTACTGCACACAGCCCCATTTATTGGTCCTTAGCACTTGCCGCTTCTACTTTAAATCAAGATAATTTTGGTATTTAAACAAACAGGTTACTGGGTGTGCAAGACAAAAAAAACATTGCAATCAAAAGCCTCTATCTAAGTATTAGTACACACCTACACATCATAACACAGTTAAATTACTTTACAGGTATGCTGGATCAATAAAAGCTAAACAGAATAAAATGCTGATGATTATCAAGAGGTCGTACTCAGACATGCTTAGAAACACGGTATTCCTCTGAAAATCGGACACCCTTTTGCTAGCTCCCAGTTTGGCTGCCTCTCCACACAATGCCACAAGGATGCAGAGGGGACCCTTCAAGCAAAAGCAGAAAAGGAAAACACCAGAGTAGCCACCTGCTTTGAAAAATTTTTACCATGTGTTAGGCATTCACTTGCCAAGGGAGTGGCAATATTTATCAGCTTTCCTGCACTGGCTAGTCCTGATACCACAATCAAAGCTCCAGAGTTAATGATTTCCCCCTGTGAAAACTCCAGTGAGGCAAACTGCAGGGCTGGGCTCTGTCCTTGATCAACGCGTGCAACATGTTACTCATCCAGCCCTGCAATATGAAGTACAGAAGCCCTCAGGTGAGACTTGGAGCACAAGGTCAGTATTTCATTTAAGGTTCTTTCTCCTTCTTCCTGCAGGGCTGGTCCATTTAGTGAGCTCTGGAGGCTTGTATCTTGTTACTGCATCAAGGCTCTAACCACAGCCAGCTGCTGGCAAGAGCCCAAGCAACTTGCACTCACTGCACAGGCCGTTAACCCTCATCATTCCAAAGCAATGCCAGCAGAACACCAAATTTCAGACCCGTTCCCACAACATCCTTCATTTTGTACCCATGGCTCCATCACCTGAGACAAGGACGCAAAGAACCCGTCCAGGGTGTGGGATTCCATCTTTTTAACACCATGTCTTTGCCAACAGCTTCCATTGACCATTTCTTTTCCCTTCTAAGCAGAAGGTTTTGTTTCTGAAGCGCTTTTAGGACAGATGCTTGTTCACAGTTGGTGACTGCTCACTTAAAAGCAGGAACCCTTAAAGTGATTTTGGTCACTAACAAACGTGTCCTGTTCCAGAGCCTGAGCACATCCATCCAGACCGAAAGTTGGAAGAGGAATAGTTTTACCTTGATTTGAATCTCCAGTTTTCCACGAGTGCCTGAAGCACTTCAAAATGCAGTTACAGGATGCATTGTATCTGACCTCGCTACTTAGAGGAGGATTCTGCTTTTTGCTGCAAGCACACAGTGGTCAGAACTGGTTCACAGGCGGTCAGTAACAGAAGTCTGCTCTGGAAGAATGCTTTCAGATGACTGATGAAGCTTAAATATTCTTCTATTCTTGGCACACTCTCTTCCCCAAACAGGTGTACAGAAAATTCTCCACCTATGTCTCTGAGGGCAGACGGCAAACAGCGTTTTGACATCCCGGTGTTTGAACCTGAAAAGCTTATTGTGACTTGCTACTCAGCAGAAAAAAAAACCAGGAAAGCTGCAGTCCCATCTAGCCCTTTATACTGACTTCAGCTCTAGTGAGGAACAAGGGCTGTACAGACAGACAGATGCACCTTCATCAAGATCCACAAGGGGATACTCCCTGGAATCAAGATAACCCGAGCTAAATACGAACACCACAGGTGGGGTAGAAAAATATCTCCTCATTTGGCAGGCTCCAAATTCCACTCTCCTCATCATCACTCTACCAGAGAGTTTTTACACCATTCCCCACTTTCAGTCTCCCTGGTCTATACCCACAACTGACACCAACTGAACCTTTTGGAGGTTTTGCATCTGGTGCTATCCAAGTGCAGAATAAGGGCAACTCACAGGACGAACCAGCAACAAGGGAACTCCTTCTCCATGCAACCTGGCTTAAGTGTCCTGGTCAATTATTCAAGATATAATATCCAAGTAGTTCATTCACCATAGGTACAGAGAGGCAAAACACCAGAAAAAAATGCTCAATGTATATTCAGGGCTTGAAGACTGTAATTAACTGATGAATTCCAACGGGTTTATCTCATTCATGCATTTTAAATGATTTACCTTCTGCACACAGTCAGATTCAGACCCTGGAAAAGCCCTAGCCATATATGAAGGGGCCGTGATATCTATTTAAACACATTCCAGGTCTGTGAAGTCTTACAAAGAAACTGATAGAGCAACTGACATAACACTCAGCTGGGACAAAATAAAATAAAAAGTTATCTGAAAGTGTTAGCAACTTATAATCAAGTGCCTCATTTTTTGCCACACTTTGGATTTACAGTAACTACAGCTCTTAATCACTAGTTGATATTGCAAGCTCAAAGCAATGAGGAAGAATGAGGAGAACACTGCCCCTTGGTGGAAAAAGGGGATAGGAAACATTTGCAACTGCTCCAAGTAAAACTACTTTTACAATGTTGTTCAATCTCCCCCCATCCCGAGTGAATTTCTTAACAGCATGGCTAGTGCAGCTCCAGCAGCGCCCCCCAGACCGCCGTACAGCAACACGCCTGCCCCAGCACAGCTCAGCACTCGGCTGCCTTGCCCTGTGCTGTGTAGCAGAGGTGTGCTTCTACCTCTCCCCCAAGTGCCAGCTGGCTATTTAGCTAGAATTCAAAAAAAAAACCACCCAAAAGCTCAGAGAAGGCTATTGCCTTTCTCACTTACATATGAAGATATCTATTAAGGATGATACAGAAGTCTGAAACTGCTGAAGTTCAGATTTGCCTCCCTGCTAATCTTCTCAAATCCTCACCTTTCATGCTAGGATGGCAGGAATTACATTTTACTTTTTTTTTTAAGCTTTAATTTATGTTTTCAGTTCTTGCAGAGTTCCTACTACAGAGTGTACCCAAGATACCAAATGCTTTTAGTACACCCAGTGTTGCTTGCTTCCCCACCGAAGCTGAAACACTGCTCCGTGGGCACGTGCAGCTCTTCAGAAGGGCAAAATGCACTTGGACAGTAGCACATAGAACTCACTGAAATCAAGAGGCTTTTTAAACAGGCCAACATGAAACATCAGCAACATATTAAAGCAGTAGCCACACCATTCCATGGTAAAACTTCTGTATTCTATCAATACTCAGCCAAGAGCTACTATAGTCCGATTTTGTTCTTTCTCTCTGTGCCAGATATTTTCTCCTTCGTCCTGAAGTACTAAAGCCCTTTTAGAGGAGACAGAAATGCACACAACTGGAACAAGGCCTGCTACAGAGGTTGTGGTGATGTACATCAGATTTCTCTTTTAAGGAAAACCCACCTACTCTTCTTTCCCAGCACGCATTCAGATCCAGTTTTTACAGAAACATCTTGCTAGCACGCTTGTGAGCCACAATGGCAAAAATTTAGAAGTAGAAAAAGGATAAGAGGGGGAGATTACCTCTTCCTCTCTTCCAAAACCAAGGTAATTTACTTGCAACAAGGAACGGAGACAATACATTCCATTTCCAAGTGCCTCCTACCGGTATGCCAAAGGCGTTAATGATATTTCACACCCTGATGCAAGAGACTTCAGCTGCAGTACAGCTGCCAAGATTTTTCAACTGTGTATTAGTATAAACCCATAAAAATATTGTGGATACTGGAAGAAGGTGCTGCTATAAAACTCATTGAAGCAGAATAGCTAAACACACTCGTTTGCCTTCCTCTTGTCCCACCAAAGCGCTATGCTAATTCAAATGCCCTACAGAATTTCAGTTTGCAGTGGAGCCCTCCGGTTGCCTTAGCAGAGCTTAGAGACTGTCTGCATCCTTGAGGAAGCTACTGGATAAAATAAAGGCCCTTGCAATTGTCATTCATTCAGTATCCCTCAAGACTGCTTATATTGTGTGGGGGATTGAACTAGCATAGGAATTTGAGCACAATTCTCTATAAAGTTTCAAATTGATTCAGTCTTTTGTCTGTCTTCCAGCTTTTCACCTGGTGTATGTTCCTATGTGCTGTTCAACACCTGTTGTTCAGCAGAAACAAGATGTAATCCCAAGATAAAGACAACTTCAACTATTTATAATAGCTATCACCTGAAGATCTTAATTAACTTTTTAAATTTTAAATACAACCTTTACAAAACAGCTTCATTCAGAAGGACAGAAAGAGAGCTGGAGACAACTGACTTGATTTTGACATGTGTCATGACCTCTAGAAGCCTAAGATCATTTCTTTATTAAGTTGTTCTAAATGAAGACAGTATTCCAGCTAATACTAGTCACAAGAGAATCCTGCACCAAATACAACATCTCCCAGACTACTGCAGAATAGGCGAGATGCTGTCAGAAAACCTACCTGAGATCTAATACACAAGACGACCAAGTTCATGAATGCAGGTCTTCATGACTCAGCTCGTTGCCTAACTGGTTCACTATGTTTGGCAGAAGCCAGAACTAAAGTAAAACAAACACATTACAGCTACAAAAAGGAAAGTATGAAACTAGCTACGGAAGATCACAAACGAACACCAAGCCATGCTGTTAAGACTTATTCCTCTTGTACTGAACTTCCCCCCAACCACCACACCACACTTCCAAATACCTTTAGGTCACCAGCCTCAGGTTTTTCAGTCTCTGAATCGTCATCTTCCTACAAGACAAGAATTTACAGGATTAAGCTTAAAGAGCAGGCTTGGCAAGTAACTGCACTTACAGCAAAGGGCTTGCATTCAGCAGCCCAGCAGTAGTCCAAGACCCTTTCCATGGAAGTTAGTTTTGCCCCACCCACTCATGACCAGAAAACAAGTCCTACAGTCAGGGAAAGAAGTGTTTGTTTGGGTGTTTTTCAGGCAGAAGCACCACTCAGTAGCAGATGTCCCCCGCAAAATTCATGCAGCTCCTGAATGCTCAGAACTAGACAATAAGGAGCAGACTGGGAAAAAAGCATTTGTCATTTGATAACTGTCTCTTCCAGTTGGCAGCGGGGCTTTTTGCATTCGTCCCTGTTTAGCAGTACTCACAGAAAAAGCAGCACTTGCCAAGATCTATTACACTCCCAAGTGTACATCAGCAACACACAGAGGACACACAGCTGGCCTGCCACCCAACAAACATGCAGGCTCGGTGAGGGCCTGGCCTAGTACCAAGTCCCAAAGCTCCGGCGATGCCAGCTGACACAGTCTCCTTCTTATTTGGGCAGTGCTCTCGTAGCCTCGTTTGCAGGTGATGTGAACTTGCACAGAAGGGAACCACTGACAAACTTCATTGTTTTAGTTAACAGACCCCGTTCAGCTTTTACTTCTACCCAGAAATAAAGCAAAGAACTGGGTAAATTTCTACCCCGTGAAAGCTTAAAATACTGAACTTAGCCTCGTGTAAAATTCTACACTGTGTGAGAAGGAAGCCTCAGCGTTGGTCCCAACTGGTAGGTAAGCCTGCTCTTCTACTGCTCTATGAGCTGCTTCACTGTGGATCCTAGAGTTCCCTGTGTGTCTAGGCATGAATACATACTCCGGGTTCAAACCAAGTTTGAGGAGCAGAAAATGTATTTCATGCACACACAACTCAGCAGAATGCTTTTTTTCCTCCAAACTTTGGCCCCAAAACAAGAACTTGGTATTTCAGCTTCAAAAAGAAAAACAAAACAAAACAAAAAGTAGTGAGACGGTTACATGCAACTGAAAGGAAGAGTTTACAACGAAGTGCCCACCTCAGAGTATTAGCACACGAGCAAGTTATGGCAAGGCAAGCTAGAGAATGACCACACAATAATGTCAGTAAGTTTTAATTGCCTGAATTAACATGCATGTCTCACAGAAGTGAGACATTGAACTCCTTCACTTCACCTACTCCCCAGCTTATCCTTCTGAAACATACATGTACGCCAATCATTCAGTCTTAACTATCAAAGTTTAATAACAGTAGATTTGTAACTAGAAAAGAACCATAGTACGAAGTAACTTGGTGTTTATCACAAATGAGATTTCTGTCCCCTCCACAGTCCCACCTTTATTACAAAGTAATTTTCAACAAAGCCACAATGGGCTGAATCATTCATATTATAGACAGGTAACTGCAACAAACTCCCCAAAACTCCTAGCCTAGCAGGGGACATCGCTGAGGCAACATCAACAAAGAAGCGTTACTGAGAACTGCCTTTGAAAAGACAGAGGCTTTTCAGTCACTGTTAAGGTAGATAATACAAGCACAGAGTTGTTTAGATAAAAGCCCAGGACAACCTGAGTCCAGCTCACGCTGCTTTCTAAATACAGCTCATCACCAGCATTCGCTACTAGCAGAAGAAATAAAGGCAGCTCGACCAGAGAGAAGGCACCCTGTGTAACCTGCACGTGTCTGTACCCTAACCACAAATATATGCAAGACCTACTGGTTGGCACCAGAGCACCTCGATCAACTGCCTTTACTTGATGGCAAGTTGTTCCTCCCAGACGACGGACAGCTGCAACCTGCCCTGAAAACTGTGCGTGCAATGAAGGCTGCTCCATTTACCGGCCCGTTTGTCAACGCAAACTAAGCACGGCTGATCCTGACAAGTATCTGGATCGCACCTACCACTTTCTTCAAAGTAAAGAGATCTCATTGAAGGAAGGTCTAGAAATTGTGGATATAAAAAGAAGAATCACTAAAGCATTAAAAAAACATCATTACTTTGCTTAGCCAGAGGCCAGGAGCAGACCCTGAATGCTAGTGCTGGCGTGGCACCTTCTCCAGTCAGCAACAGAACAACACCAAAAGCAAGAGCAAGAGACGGACAGATTTCTTGTCTGCTACTTGGGAAAAACAGATGGCAGAAACAGCGAGTGTGTCATCAGAGACTGATCTAATGCACATAAAGAAGACTTCCACGAGGAAAGATGATAGTAACATAGTCCTATTTCTTTCCTCCACTGAATAGCCAAACACTAGAACAGGGACAAGGTACCATATTCTTAACATGTTGATAAGCAAAAGGTTGATGAGAAAGAAAGGAGACAAGACCCTCCCTCCCCAGTCCCCCAAAACCTGTTTTGCTTTTACAGACACAGGACAGAACTACATATCCTTTTGTGTGTTACAGCTGCTCTCACAGCTACAGGCCCTGTCTCACAATGTACCAATTACCTCGATATTTAGGTGACGTTACACACGCGCCATGCACCTACAACGAACAAAAGTCACTCACATCTAGACAGGACAGCGTTGCATCAAAATAACCTGATGCAGTGAGTGGGTTTAGTTATACACAAAAGAATAATTTAAGACGTCACAGAATTTAACTCTTTTTAATGCTCCAGCCGACCATGCAACAGCGTGTTCCTTTTACAAGGCCCTCACATATGCCAACTGCGCTTAAAGAATAATTTGAATTTAGTATGGCTGTTGACGTGCACCAGCCTTTTTCCCTTAAGAGAGTCAAACAGCATCAATACAGTCAAACAACACAAACTGTGCCAAGCTGGTGATGGGTTTCAAGACAAATGCTTTCTACTGGAAAACAGAGTGGATACAAGTATTTGTGGAGTGCCGAAACCTACACCAGGAGTGAGATATTCCGGGCTGCAGCTTGGACTGCCAGTCAGGGCCTTTCCTTGGGGAGAGAAAAGCCTCTGCAACACGTGAAGGGGTCAGAGCAAGCAGAGGTACTTACTGACTGCCTGCTGTTCTCATCATCCTCTTCCTCATACCCGTCCTCGTCGCCGTCCAGGCGGGTGAAGTCGTCATCTCCATAGCCAACTGAGACCAGGCCTCCTTTCTCTCCTAAGGAGGAAGGGAAAAGGAAAACCGTGAGGGAAGGGGAGGTGGCAACGAGCGGGGCCCTCCCCACGCAGGGGGGAAGGC